CTGAAACTATTTGCTGAGCAGAGGGTTGGTTATATCTTTTTTTTTTTTCTGCTGCTGAAAAGAAAACCATGTTAAATAAATGGCTGTGTATAAATCTACCACTTACTGAAAAGTAATTCTCAAATTGAACGTTGAACTTTCAAACCAGCCTGTAAACCAGTACTTGACAACAGCAAGTACAAGAACAAATAAATGGTAGATTCTTCATGGCAAGGGACATCAAAGGAGAAAATGAGAATAGTCTCTTCCCTTAATTTGTCTCTTCTGTTCATGGCCGACGTTTTGGGTCTTGCATCTCCCACTTCCCGTCTCCCATGGAAAATGCATATGCTAAGAGCGGGTACAAAAACACTATCTGGTATTACTTAGGTTAATCAAGGACATTTTGGAATCTTATGTTTGGCCCTATCCCTCTGGTTTCTTTCATTTCAAAATGTCAAGATAAATAGGTTTTGATGTGAGGGCTCACTAAACTGATTTTTGAGAAGATAGAGTTGAAATGCTTAAATATTCTGCGGCATATTGTTGGTCATACCATAGATATTAAGAGTTCTCAATAACTCAAAAGGGAACTTTTAGCACGTAAAAATACAGAATTAGGCATACAGGGGAGGATTAGAAGCGAGGAAAAAAACGAAGTAAAAATTTGTCATCAATCATTTGTTTTCAATATTCTTCCTGCTGTTGAACGTAAAAAGTGACGCTGTGGATGAACCATGGGTACTGAGGCTTTCTTTCATGTACTTATTATGGCAGAGCGGTAAATTTTGTCACGTACATTATTGTGCAGAGTTGCACACGAGTTCCCAAAGGGCCTAAAGTCCTCTCATTTGCAGTCCTTAGGATGAGTATGCTGCCACTGCCTTAGCTGTGGATTTGAAAGAAAAGAGCGTTTACAGTAATTGGCCTCATTCTGATGGTTCTTGCTTTGACTTTGCAATCAGGCCATATGTTTATGCAACCAACTGTTACTAGTCTGTCAGACACGTGTCTGAATTCGCTTCGTGTATCAGCATTGTGTCACACCGAGATGGAAATGTAACACAACAGGAGCAAATTTACATCAGTGTCCCCACACATGCAATTCTCGTGACAACTTTTCGCAGTATCTCGTGTAAAACTGGGACATGGGCGTGAGCGTAAGTGTGAAAGTAACTGAATAAGGTAATTTCCCTGTAAATTATTCCCAGATTAGAGGGGTTTTTTACAGGTAATTTATTTTGTCCGTTTGCTGAAGGTCTTAGGAGATTCTTGCTCTCCACTTCCTTAGTTTTGGCTGATTTCTTTGTATTTTGTATGCTCATAAGTAAGGTAAAAAGCAAAATGCTTATCCCAGGAGGATTTTTCTGCAGCCATTGAAAGAGCAGAAATCTGAAAATAAATATATTCTCTTCCAAGCTCTGGCAATAATTGAAAACCTTACAGATTGTCATTTGCTCTATGGCATTTTGCACCTTTCATTGTCAAAACTTCCCTGTTGAAACATTTCTGGCCAAAGCATTTTTCTCTTTTTTTTTTTTTTTTTTTAATCTTTTAACTGAAAATAGCCATTTATTTAGAATGTCATAGAATGTTAGGGGCTGGAAGGGACCTTGAAAGATCATCTAGTCTAAATGCTATTTAGACCAAAAGTGCTATGCAATTTTTAAAATGCTGAGAGCAAAGGCTAAGTTTGTGTTTCTGATCTTCTATAAAAACTAGTGACAATATGATGTAAGAACTTTACCTGACCGGTTAGTATAGCTGGGTATGGCTTCACATCAATCAGTCAGCTCTCGCGAGAAAGAGTAACAGGTCCAAGAAACAGCTAGGAAATCTGGTAATTTCAGTCAAAGTGAGGATATATTTTTGCATGTGAGCTGAGGCAGAAAGAATGAAGAAGCAGAGTGGCTGTAGAATATTTACTGCCACATTTAGATACTCATTATTTTAATTTCTTGAGTACTTTAATTTGAAATAGGCTTACTCTCAATAGTGCTGAGCTCTTCTATCTTTAAGCTTGTGAATGGTTCCCATTACATACATTTAGTTGGTGTCAGTATAGGATTAGAATACAACAACAGTGTAAAACTACGCAAGATCATCCTCTTCCCCTTTGTCTTAGACAGAACTTGGAAAGTTTAAAAATCTAGATAACATGGAGCCTTTCAAGTGCTATGTTAAGATTTTTGTATGCTGTATATTTTTGTTCATGTTTGTGCCAAAGGTGTAGTGAAACTGGTGTATATTTTACCATAATCCACATCGGGTTCACACCTTTTCTAAACCGAAAGGGGATGGCAGTAGGTCTCCTGAATTGACGACATGTTATCGTGACCTTTGCGAGCCTGCTATCTCTGTCATTGTGATCTCTTACAGAGGTAGGACTCTCTGCAATTAAAACCAAAATGCGTCCTTTTTACACATTACAAGTTTTATATCTCTATCTCTGCCTGATGCTAAGTATCATCCCGCCTTTGTGGGAAAAATAAATGCTAAATTCTTTTGTGAAGCAAACAGATCAGAAGGGGGAAGACCAAGAGTATTTTCTTTTTTAGTGCTGTAAAAGGAAACCAAAAGAAATGGAGGATGAATTAAAAATCTTTAATGTAAGTAAATGGCATAACCGATAGGTACTTTTCAACAGGAAAAAAACAACAGCTGTGCCATAAAGAGTATACAGTTAATCAAGACCATGCATTGCTTTCCACTGTGAAATTCATGTACAATTAAATCTGTTTTTCAGAATCCTCAGTCAGTAGCAGCTCCCCTGGATCAGGTCCCAGTTCCCCAAGCAATGGTCTGACGAGCAGTATAACAGAAAATGAAACCTCAGTTTTGCCATCTAATATTCAAGCCGAGGTAAGGATCTTTACTGGATAGATCATTGCTCGGAAATCTCAACTGGAGAGATTTGAAACTTCAGTTTGATCATAGTCACAAGCAGAATACTTGCAGAAGATGATTATCAGGGATGCCAGGACACTGCAGGCTGACATCAGAGTATGTTACACATGAGCTACATCTTCATGTATGAAATGCATGTTCAGGAGACTCTTTGGTGCCAAAAATCCAAACAAAAGCAGCAGTAATGCTACTGAAAGAGTGGGAGAGAGCTATGGAAGGAGCTTGGAAGCATCTGTGATACAGAACGTTACCTTCAGAGATAACCTCAAGAGATCCACAGTGCTGAGCACTGGTGAAGAACTTTCATGTGCAAAAGAGTGATTTAGGCGTTGGTGACCCTAACATATGTGAGTTAAGGTGGTCCCAGATTCAGATGGCTGCTGAAGTAGATTTGCTTAACTACAGCATCAGAGTTAGGTGACTAAATCCTTCGTCACATCTGCCTTTTATTTTACTATACCTCAGTTTCTCTATCAGGGCAGTTACCAACGTAACTGACATTCCAGGAATCTTAGATACTTGCTTTGTAAAGCGACAATGTACAGAGAAGAAATCTTAACTACTCCTTATTCTATTTCATATATATGTCCCTATAGCAACAGGTATGCAAAACAGTTTGATAAACTCATTTAGCAGAAATGACATGCCTAAGTCATGCTTTCCATGACAGTATTGTAAAGGGACAATAAACTAATGCAACTAAGAGAGGATCTAATTTCACAGTTATCTCTATCCAGTTTCTACACTTACAGCAGTTCCTGCTTTGATGGCAAAGTTTTCTATTAATTACTTGTTTATACTGTTTATGTTAGAAAAATTGCATAAGAAGGTACGATTTAACGTAGTTTTAGCTAATAGATCTGTTTCTCCAGGTCAGTGGCAGGACATTCACCTCAAAAAAACCTGGAATGGGCAGTTCAACCTCCAGCAGTGACTTTTCCCCATAATGAATTAATTGTGTGCGTGAACTATGATCTAGGGGGCAGGTGGGTGACCTCTGCACACTGATTAGTAGCCTCTCTCTGGCCCGTAACCAAAAAGAAAAGAAAAATTGCATTGATGGCTAACATGTGGTCTTGTCTCGTAGCCTGCAGTATGTGAATGCAAAGAAATTCAAATGATGCAAAGTAAGGTCCATCTTTTAGATTAGATCAGATCCTGGTTCAGTGCAATTTAATGGTGTATTTTAATATTGGGAGTGTTTTAGATACAAGTTTGTAATACATGGGTGTTAGTGCTATATTAAACAGGAAATCTTGTCCAATTGGATCTTTTACTGACTTGAGGATACTATAAAATACAAAGGGAATAGTGTCCCAGACTGGTACACGGTGCTTTGAACGTTGCACGTTACAGTTTTGGGACATTTGCCCGGAGTGTTGAACCACCATCAGAAATGTATACAATCTGGTCAGGCTGGCAATCTCTTTTGGGGGGTAAATTTGGAAAGGTTGTGGTAACTACCAGCAGAGGTACGTTAATAGAAAACCCCATTGCATATCATTGGCCATTACTGTGCCAGAAGTTAACAGCCCCACCATACAGTCAGATGAGCCTAAAAAGTTCTTTTAGAAGTTGAGCTTTGCCTGCTGGAGTCGGTCGCTTTGCTCGCTGGAAGTGTGCTAAAAAGCTGAAACTATGGGCTTCCATTTCTGGATCAAGTTGGGGATTTCTTTACCTCTCTGGTTACTTGACTCTTAATACTGTAGTCCTGTGGGCTCAAACATTTTTCCATAAAGCTCAACTTCTGTGCATTTTGATTTCAGTGGGATTTTCTTTGCTAATTTAGCAGCAGCCACACTCCTACGTATCTCTTCTCTAGTTTAGCATTAGCTGCCAGCTCTCAAGGGCTATGTATCCAATCAATTTTTCATCAGACACATGAAGTACAGGAGTTTCTAATAATAGGACAAGCATTCTAAAACCACCCCAAATATCACTTGTTTTGCTCTAATCCCACATGACTCACATTGCTGTTGTTTCATAATCGTCGTTGTGACATTTGCAGTAAATGTTGTGCTCGTATCTGAGTGGGTGGATAGCCACGGTTTTCATGTCAGCAAATAAAACGCTTTTTGCTGGGGGAAAACAGGTTGCTATGACAGAGAGCCCTTTACCAGTAAAACATGAGTCAGTACCGTAAATTATTACACTCTGGTGCCTAGACAGAATTAGAGCATTATCAGTAGTGAAACAGATTTTTTTAAGTATTTTTGCCATATCCATTTGAATAGCGAGACTTCAGAGTGGTTTAACCTCCCAAACAGACAGTCTGATGGGTAGACATTTACGTTTTTTTGAATTAACAGAGGTGCACTGCAAATGCTAAGTTTTTGCAGACGATCTTTTACTATCACAGTTTCCTTTAATGGTACTTTCAGCACCGTTTGTTAAAACACTGGTCTCATTATATGAAACCTGTAAGTTGAACTCAAGATTTTAATTACACCTTATAAATAAAATGCTGTTTTTATTAGGCCCAGTTGTCTCCAGTATCATCAAGGTTCACCGCAGTAGCTATTTGTCTCTTGTAGCATGCCGTACAGTTTCAGGTCACCTGCTGTGCCGGGGTTAAATCTTACTTGCCTGAGAAATGCAAGCAGGATTGAGCCCTTGCACAGCACGTCCCCTGAGTTCAGAGGGACAGCCTGCCTTAGTAATGTGAAGTGATTAATTTTAGGCAGTCACAGCCTGGTCAAAAGCCATTGAAGGCAATGGAAAGTTTCCCATTGCTGTAAACAGGCTTCAGATAATTTTCTTTCTTTCATTTGGAGAGCAGCATTTCCTAGAATATCACCTGACTAAACAGGAGCCATAAATGACATGCACGGCAGATAAAGACAGGTTTGATTTGTGCAGCCCCACAGCAATGTGTTTCGAACACGCAGCTCCTTGAGGTGCTCTTTGCCAGTGGCCAGTGGAAAGATGTGTCGGTTTCTGACCAGCTGGCGAGGTTTGCTTCAAGTGTATATGAAGAGAGTCTTAATTAACTACAAACCCCCCCCCCAACAAACAAACCACACAAAACACCCCAAAAGCCTTAAGAAGTAAGAGTATAAGTAATTGTGGGTATTTAAAGCTATGGCAACCGTACTGTAGCTCCATGATTGAGAAGTGTTAGAACCAAACCTTTTTTTTCTTCCCCTCCTAATGTGTAAATGTGCGTGCAGACGTGAATTAGGTGTTCCCGCTGAGGCAGGTCCTGGTAGCACAACACAAGTACCATAACGAATCATGGTTACTTGCTGATGCACCGTTATATTTAGTTATTGTATTCTGTTTTAAGAAAGGGAGTAACTCTGTTAGGCTATTTTAAGCATCAGGAAGCTGGATCTATGGACCCAGTGAGTAAGTACGTAGAGGAGCAAGTAGGGCAAGTTGCACCTGACTTGGTGCCAATCTAAACCGTCAAGTCTGCGTGTAGGGTGAGGACCGTGGCTTAGCCATCGTGCTGCCCAGTGACGCTGCTGGTGGCTCCAACTCATGCCACCATTTCAAGGTATTGTCAACTGTGTGAAAAGAGAAGCTGCAGCTGGGGTCGTGCAGTTCTGCCTCAGCGGACGCAGGACCCTAGTCTGTGCAGGTGGGTTACTAAATTTATCCTAGGAGATGAGGCTTATGTTACCTGAAGATATTATTTTTTTTAAATAGGTTACTTACCAAAATGAAAAAGACTGATTATTAGCGGTATTAGAAATTGGATGGAAATGCTCTTACTAGTAAAATCTCATTTTCAACATTAAACGTCCACCCTATGTAATATGATTAATTCTGCCTCATAAAACAATGATGCCTGACATTGATGTGGGAGTGTGTTTTGCTGCTGCACACCCTCTCACTGGTATGTTCATTAATTCAAATCTTAGAAGTTACTGGTGGCATGCTGAAAACCAAAGGGTAACATGCATTTTTGAAGTGGTTGTGTATAGATCCTTGATAATATTCTAGGAGGTACATTAAAGCTGCTGCAGTGTCCTTTTTCAGTTAAATCTTTGTCATCTCCTTCAATAATATCTCCCTAGTCTTGACATACTTCGTTTTATTCATGGTCAAAGGTGGGTGTTATCAAGGCAAGACACTGTTAGGCAGGAATTAACGTAACATACAAGTAAAGCTTCTTTGTTTTGTGTGCTATCTGTTGACATTCCCTAGGTACTAAAAGAAAATTACAGAGATAGACTTCTACTGTTATTGTCTCAGTGATAGGTCATATATCCAAACAAACTGTATGAGGAAGGTTATGTTTTGGAATAACATCCTGTGTTTTTGTGCTTAACCACTTTTCACTGATGGTCTGAAGTTGCATTGTATTAGCACAAAGTATTTTACAGAGTTAATTGATATTCCAGGTTTGGCCAGGGGAAAATCTACAGCTCCCCACAACATGCTTGACAAGTTATTATATTTACTTTAGTCAAAGCCCGAGTGTGCAGTATCCCTCTTGGAGGTGGTCTATTATTGGAGTCCCATATGCTTTTTGTTTGGGAAGAAAGCAGTCACTGTGTCATACTGTTACACAGGGTATTCTTTTTCAAGGATGTTGTTCCCTTGGGGACCATATCATGCCAGAGTTCCTAAGTCTAATAAGACCTTTGTAGCTCTTATTGTGTTAAAGTTCTGGGAGGGAAGCAAGAGTTAAACAGAAAATGTAATTCTAGCAACTATACTAGACCACATGTTGAAAAACATGACTGTTAAAGCAGAAAGTCAAAGGCTTCAAAAAGATTCCTGTTGTGGTAATGTAACTTTATGTTTCTTCCCAATGAATCTAGAATGGAAAGACAGAGGGTGATCTTTGCAGAATGTCTAGTTTTACTTGACAGTAATTAAAAAGATATCAAGAATTCTATGTCCCTGAAAATTATATCACAAGGCTTCAAAAGAAGTGTTAAAAGGTTTTAACTTGAAAGGAATTAGGAAGGCTGTGAGGGGTATCCCACCATCAGAGAATGATAAGGTGCATAGAGAAAGGGTGCATTTTTTTAAATGGCAGATCTATTGGTCTACCTCCCTCTCTACCCAAAATTCCTATGTCAATGAAAGTAAATAATGTGCCTAAAACATCCCAATGAAAAATCACAAGCTGGGTAAGAAAATTCCTGGACTAGGTAGAAACTGTATTTTATACCTTACAACAAAAACTATAATAACCAGTAAATAACAGTAAAGCAAAGGTCTAATACATCCACATTCATGACACCTTTGATTTGACTACATATACTCCTTAATTCTTTGGCTAAATCCCCCCTGAGTTTCTAGTAGTGAAAGTGCAATTGATGAGAAGAACCGGTGTTGAGCGGCTGAGATGTTGATGAGAAGAGATGGTCTAGGAATCCTCCAGATTTTGCTTTTGCATGGAAGTTTGATTTACTAGCCAAGGAACAATCTCAGGCACATATCAGTTGTTTTCTTAAGAAATATCAACAGCTTTTCCACAGGAATAGTACTTTTCCTTATCTGGAACCCTGCTGGGAGATGTACCAATGCAACATACAGAACCGGGTTTCAGTGTAGCGGGTTAACAGGATATAGTAACTAAGATAAAAAGCTTGGAGATTATACTTCTCTTGTTTTTCCCGTTTTTCCAGCATCTGGTTCCACAGCAGCGCCTTTTGATACAGGAGGAATCAGTGAACTTGCTGAGTCTGTACACATCCCCTTCTCTCCCCAACATTACTTTGGGACTTCCAGCAGTACAGCCTCAAATCAGTGTAAGTCTCAAGTCCTTCTGTCCGCTTTTGCTCCTAGAAAACCTTCTTCTGACTGTTCTGTTTATTTAGCATTTTGCAATGTAAGCACTTCAGAGTAGAAAACAGACTTTTCTTTGCGTTAGGCAACATCTGTATGTTTAAGGGCGCAACTTGAAAGCAATAATCATTCTTAATCACAAATAAACAAATGCCAGTGTGGAGTTTAGCTAAGTATGGGCTACGTGTGTTGCATTTATATCTGCAAATCAGATAACAGATTTCAGGCATGGCGAGAAGTATATGAGGAGATAATTCAGTATAAATATCAAACTATATGACCACCCACCCCTACCTGGTAAAGTACAGCACTTGTGACTGTTTATGAGATTCCAGTAGCAACCTAAGCTGGGCTGGAGCATAGTAGAGGAAGAATCTAGGATTCCTGCAGCTATGTTTGTTGTTTGATGAGTGTGCTATTAATGAAAGAGATAAAATGAGTGCTATGTGAACAATGCTTAGTATTTTAATGACAAGTAATATTCATATGCCTTTTATTTAGTCTGCAGCAGTCACCTTCATTTAGAGCTAAATGTTAAATTAATATGTGAAACATATGAAAACACCGACATGGTATGTATGGAAATCCATGCTGATGAATAAGGATCTTTAGGTCTAGCCCAAGTTACAGTAACCTAGAGGTGAAATCTGAGGCTTAGTAAAATATCTGAAAATTTTGCCACTGGTCGAAACTTAGAATCATTGAATGGTTCGGGTTGGAAGGGACCTTAAAGATCATCTAGTTCCAACCCCCCTGTCGTGTGCAGGGACACCTCCCACTAGACCAGGTTGCTCAAAACCCCGTAGGGTTATCCTCATTGGGCAGGTGCTCCAACCCCTGTTTCTGATGTCTTACCTTTTCTGATTCCCAGCAAAAAATGTAAGAATACTGATACAAGTTAAACAGTGGTTCTGTAAAAGAGTATATTAAACTCTGAAGGAATATTAGCAATTTATATCAACTGGTAATTTCTACAGAAATACTAAGGATGTAAGTACAGCTTTCCATGGTGTTAAAAAAAATAAAAAATCTCTACAATCCACTAGAGTTTGTAATAAGTATTTCTTAATTCCAGTGCTAAGGTAGTTACATATTATTTTATGGCTTTTTCAGTACATCTGCTGGTCTAACCAGTAATATATTGCTGCGATCCAACATTTTCCCATAAGATATAGAACTTCGCAAATAAAATAGTGTTCTCTAGAAGCCTTTCATGAGATATTCATAAGGAGATTGTTGTTTTTAAGGGATGGAAAAGTTGAAATGATCATGAAAAGTAGTGCTTACTTTCCCAGACGGTATCATCAAAAATTTCTTAACTGTTTCACAAAAACTATAACTAGCCTCAGAGTAACTTTATAACATTAAAATGAAAATGAAAATGCCTCTAATTTTCTCACTCAAATAATATGAGCTTTTGATGTGGCCAACTAGCAACAGATATTACTTTTGGCATTAGAAAAAAACAAAGGAGTTGATTTATGCAAGAAACGTCTATTTCTGTTACCAGAATAAGCAGTTGCAAATTGCATATGAAGTTTACTTTGGTCTTTGTTTTTCAGGGAAGGATGTTAGTGTGTGAAGTAAGCATAAACCCCAAAAATATTAGTGAAAAACTTGGTTTACCTCATTAGAATTTATGGAATTTAGATTATCAGAGATACTGGTTTTACCATGACACACCATAAGTGGTTACCGGCAAGGATCAACCTGTTTATTTCTGTTAAGTAATTATTCTTGCTTTAAAAATTGTTATTCTGCTTTAAATGCTCTTTTAGGAAATACATTTTTTTTCAAACTAGAAAAAGAACAAAGAATGTAAAGTACATTGACAATGCTGAAGGGCCAAAACTTCCAAAAGCTTTAGATCAATAACTGTGCAGTTTCTAAGGGCACCTTAAAATGCCGCACACATACAACAGCTCTTGACCATTCTGTAGATGAGAGTTTAACTATGCAAATTTATTTTGCAAAGGGTAAAACTTAACATTTGTGCTGTCCTTCAGGGAGTCAGGGAATGCTCCAGGAAAAGTAATAGCTTCCCACTACTACAGGTAATTACTTTGTTTTGCTGATTGGCTTGCTGTCTGCTGGAAAGTTGTGAGAAAAACCAAGCCTTGCCTTTTCCCAACTCAATGGAAACTATTTCCTCAGATCCCCGATTTTCCTGTGCAAGAGGCTGTGGGAAGGTCTTTAGGAATTTTAAGGATAGGTTCAGTCTTTTCATTAATAATGTTCTAACTAGTAGCTTCTTATGCTTTGGCTTCTACTACTGATTTTTTGCGAGTGATTTCATTACTACATTTAACTGGCATGTTCTTTCTTCCTTTTTATCTCGCAGTCAAAGTGTAAGATACAGATGTTAACCCTTTCCTCTGTATGTATTCATAACGTGTGACATAAAACCATCTAACCAAGCCGAGACATAAACAGCCAAGTCTATGAAAAGCAATTATCAGTGCTGTTCTTTCACAGGCTTCGTCGTCATTCAAAGAAAAGCAGAAGGGGGAGACCCAGTCGCTCAGACAAGGACTGGCCTTGGCTGGACAGTATGGGGGGAACATTCCTCCGTCCTCAGCTCATCCCCACGTTGCTTTGGAGGGGAAGCCAAACAGCAGCCACCAAGCCCTCTTGCAGCATCTGTTACTGAAAGAACAAATGAGACAGCAAAAACTTCTTGTGACTGGTAATAATCAAGGCTTTGACACAATAATGTTTAAGATGTTTTTAATGATATTTATGTTGACATTAAACTAAATGGGATGATGCAGATGCTATACATCCTAAACATTGGGAAGGGGCGGGGAGAAAGGACAACATCTTTGTTTTCCCCCTGTAGAGAGTCTACTCCAGTCTGTTAGCCTGAAAGAATTCAGTGATTACAGAAATGAGAAAAGGATTACTTCATCACATTCTTTTGCAGCTGCTGAACTACCCAGCGTGGCCAGGCATGTGGTACATGTCCTGCTGCATCAGCGCTGATGCAGAGTTCTGCAAGATACACCCCTCTTCTCCCTGAAAGCTTTCTCTCCTATTCAAGCTATAAACTTGTGGTTCTGCACGTGGGAGTGAAATGTCCCTGTTTTGCAGGAGCGGTTCCTCTTCATCCGCAGTCTCCTTTAGCAGCAAAGGAGAGAGTCTCACCTGGCATGAGAGCTGCCCACAAACTGCCTCGTCACAGGCCACTGAACAGAACCCAGTCAGCTCCTCTTCCTCAGAGTACTTTGGCCCAGCTGGTCATCCAGCAGCAGCATCAGCAATTTTTGGAGAAGCAGAAGCAGTACCAGCAGCAGATCCACATGAATAAGGTGAGTTCCCAAACTAAGGTATTACCTATAAATGCAAAGTTTGAAAACTAATGAGGAAGTTTAGGTATTGGTGCCACGTAAGCATAAACAGGTTCTTGCACACATATCTTGTTTATGCTGCTGATACATGCTACGAAGCTAATTTGTCGGTTTCGACATCCATAAGAATAAAATTCAACGAAACAGGGTTCAAAGCACCTTACAGGTTTAAATTACAGGTGTTGCCTGTTGGATGGGAAGTGATGCCTTGAAGAAAGTATCTTTCTATCCGACTTTTTAATGTGCGCTTCCAAGTTTCAGCAATCATTCCATTCGGCTGCCTTTGAATTGCACTTTAAGCTTTCTCGTGGAGTAAATATATAACTCGTTTGAACTCAGTCAGCTGATGAAATTTTCTTTTTTGTGTAAGAAATTTATTAGACATCTGGATAAATTTTTATCAGCTTTTATCAAACCAGCTTTTTCTCTGTAAGTCAGTTGGTAATGTGGATGTTTGTTATCTTTATGGCAATATAAAATTACCAGATAAGGAGAGAGAGAAGAATGTGCTATTGCTAATATCAGATACAGAGTTGAATTGTGCTCCTCTTTCCCTTTAGATTAACGTTTTATTCTGAGGAGGGAAAAAGAAGAAAAGGGAACATCCATTAATAAACAAAGAGCAGCAGTATCTAGATAGATTTATCAGGAGCTAATGCTTCTGCAATAAATGTGATGCTCTTCCCTGCTCTAAAATGAAGATATGCAAGTAATTAAATGCTTATATCTGGAGGACATTTTTCTGCACTTACCACATAGCTTTCCAAAAGTTATTTGCTGGAGCTTCTCTAGTAATTCAGAGACATTGATCATGTATCTTTGTTTGTCTTTTTTTTGTCTGAGAGTTGTGTAATAACTAAATATAAGAGGCAATGGGAAAGAAGAAAAGATGAAAAGCGGGCAATCAGCCCTTGTACCTAAGTGAAAAGAAAAAAAGTCAATCCACCTTACTGGGTGAACTTCCCAGGGGGTACTGATTCTTTGGAATCTACTTAGAATTCCCAACAAAATTAGAAACAAACCTAGAGTTTAAGTACATAGTTTGTACAGTGGTTTGGTTATTAAATCTTGTCTTAATTAGGAAAAATGAAGACCAGAAAACTTCAAAGTTCAGAGCTGATCCTTGCATGTTAACCCCTCTCAGCTTGGGTGTTTTGATTACTCAGCTAGGACTCCAGTTGGCTTTTCTTTGAGTATGCATTCCATATGTTTAATCAAGATGGCATATGTATATCTTGTAGCCTCAGGTTTTGAAAATATTTCACCTGCCCTCAATTGTCTGAAGAGAAGAAAGTTTTTACCAGTAAAGTACCAAGTCTTTGTGCTGTTTGTGGGTATTCACTACAAACCGATCAGTTCATGCATTCCTCACAAAGCACTGAAACCCACCGACATGTTTTTGTTAGATCATATGCTTATTGACATAAATTCTACCGCAGCATTTGGGGATATGTGCTATGGTATCTAGGTACATTTGCCCTGAATGTGAAAATTAAAACTTGGGCTGCATAAACATATTCCTAGTCACACAGGACTAGGAATGCATTGCAACTCGCAAGAATTAGGCTGGATAAGGAAGTGAAAAAACTGCAGTTGGTTTGGGATAATACTTGTTTCAGTAAGTTGTTGTTTTTTTCTGAGATAAAAAGCAATGAAAATATATGTTAAGGAGAATAATTCCCCCTCATACTGGAAATACACTTTCATTCTCACATGGTTATTAGTGATAAGAGACAAAGCAGTTCTTCCTTTTAAAAGCTAATGAATCTAGCTTTTATTCTCTACAATACAGGCTATATACCTATGCAGACAGTAGGAATTTAAGTTTATCCTAGGGCATTTCACTGCCTTGAATCTGCATAACCTGCTTCCCTTGCCCTAGTAGCTTCTTCGTCTCCTTTATCCCTACTCCCAGAGCAGCTAGCCTTCATCAGGAGCACAGTGATTCATCAGAGCACCGAACACCTAAGGAGGAACAGGGTCATGCTGCAGCCACAGCAGCAGCGGCTTCTCTGAAGGTGCAGGTGGTTTATCAGACTGTACAATTTGCAGCATCCAGGGTCTTCTCCAGAACCGTTCTGATGAATAGTACTGAGAAGTGTCACTGCTGTAATCATGTGTCTGTCCTCTGCAAGTATATAGAGAGCCAGAGGCCTTTCTTACATACTTAAAAGAAGAAACTTGATTTTTGAAACCCGGAATTTAAAGGTAGTCCATAGACAAGAGAGTGACAAGAGGTCAAATTGTGTAGTGGCTTTTAAGTACTGAATTTAAAAGTACGTTCTTTGACCCTGTAACTTAAAAGTTCGCATTGAACATCTGTGCCTACGTAAGGTTTTTGAACTCTTTTAGCATGGTGGAATTTACTTTGTTCAATCTTAAAACTTGCTTCTATTCGCAGTTGAACATATTTGTTCATTATAGAACTGGCATGGCTTTGCAGTCAAACTTAACCTCTGCAAAGCAGACTTATTTGAACCATGAAATAGATATTCTAGACCATGTAGCAAAGCAACCTGATATCTTCTCATTTCTTAGAACGATTTGGGCATCTATCAAGTGAATAAATGCACTTGTTATTTTCAGTTGTTCTGTCCTTTTCTATTCATAGGCTGTTTAATGAAATATGAACAGAGGTATAATTCTATCCTTTTCAGTCATTAAAAACATAGTGGATTTGTGGGTTTTCTTAATGAGGAATACTCAAACATTCTCTAAAAGTTTTGGTGAGAAAGACTAGAACCGTTTGAAGCTGACAATACTATGAAATGCCAGTTGATCAAGAGCTTAGATCTTTTTCTTTTCCATTTCTCTTTCTTTATGCTTAGGACTTCAAGTACTTAAAGCTCTAATATATTTCAACTGAAGCCAGTATTTGAATGCTTGACCTGAACTAAGATGATATGGCATGTGTCAGCACTTCTTTGAAAACTGTGGTCAGGTCTTTGTGGCAGACATCTAGGTGAATGTAGCTGTAACAACAAAAAGAGGAAGAGAGCAAGTTTCTCCCCACCTCATTGATCTTGTGTTTATCTTGTATTAAAAAGCCATTTCTTTTCTTTGAGAAAAGAATATACTTCAGCAGCAAGCCAGTACTGCTGTGAGGGTGATAACAAGCAAAATGTAACATAGGTCAGAGGTAAAGAATTCCCCTGGATCATTTCCATTCTGAAAAGAAACAAATCATTGCCAAGGGGTGTGCCTCTGTCCTTAATAACAAAGAGAAGATCCCCTATGGATTATTTCTGATCAGCTGTCAGATGCCAGGCTTTTGATGTGGGAAACGCTATACGTCTCCACTGAAGTCTGACATTTATACCTACGGGATCTAGTACGCTGACCTGAAAACATTCTGCATCCCATCCAGAAGTAGGTAGAAACCCTCGTCCCACTTCTCTGGGGAAAGAAAGTAGTAATGAATGTGAAGTCACCTGAACTCTGCTTGTCTTGGGGAAGATCAGCTTTGCCGTTGTCAGCTTTAATATACTTCTGTACAAATGACAGCTTGGTTCCTGTCGTGGAACTTCAGAAAGTGCAGCCTTTTAGAAGAAACTAAAACTGAAAAGTAAAAATCACTAAATAGGACTGGGTTTTAGCTCAAACCCAGGACAGTTCCTCATAAGGCTTCTGATCACCATTGCAGATCTTCATTCTGCTCAATAAAGGGAGCCCAAAGTCTTAACCTCCCGGTTAAAACTATTGCAATCGAGTACCAAAAGACCACGACTATCATAAACACTTTAGAATCTTGATGTTATTTGTGTATCTCTCTATCTAGAAAGCTTTGACGCTGCCACTTGCAGAAAAAAAAAGGTGATTTTGAAATAACTAGTGTCAGAGCAAGGCCCTTTGCAGGAGTCTCAGCAATCGTAACGTGAAGAGTATATGAACAAAACCCTCTGTCTTGAAATGTTGTTTTTTGTCATGTATGATGAGTAAAGACATACTTCTGCTGAAGCTAGACTAGCACTGTCTGCACTGGACCAAGATTTTATCTGATTAGTGTGGGAAGCCTACATATGTTCTTAAAATAATATATTCGTAGCATTTCAGGAATTTGTTTTCAATGATAAAATCTTCTTCTGTGTTGGAGTAATAATGGTTAAAATAATGTGGCAATGGTAGTGTGCACTGAAGTATGGGAGCAGTATTCATAATGTTAAAGCTTAGATAAGGAGTACCTGAATTTCAGTTTTCATTTCAAGATCTTAATTAATGTAAAGCATCTTCATGTAGGGAACCAGTGACTGGGCAAGACTGTGCAGTAAAAATACCGTGACAAGAAGTATATAGGAAGTGAAAAGTTGTTAGCGCTTTGAATGGTAGTCATAATTGACCAAAATCTGTTAATAAAAAATGAAAAATAATGTGGAAGTTTCATCTGATTTATTGATGGAAGAAGTAGAAAGATTCTTCGTTGTCAATAGGGATATTGCAAAGATACGGTTCAGCCCAGATTAATAATTCACTTCTCTCAATGATATTTAATGAAATACAAAAGACTGAGTCAAGTTCGGCTGGAGTAAATTAATCTAGTTTCATTAAATATATTACAACTGAGGTTTTGGCATTCCAGCTAAAACATCTGACTGGCATCTCCTGAGGGTGAAAGGTAGCGCATTTCTTCTTTCAACTATTGCTTATAGCAGGGGATTATTTGGACAAAACAGTCAAATGTGTTTGGAACTGAAAAAAGCCCAGAGCATTTTCTCCTTCGTTGAGAACTAATGTTTCAGCCATCATGCCGAAGATTGATTTTGAAAGATAAATACATCCCTTAGAAATGTTGTGCTACGTGAGTAAGAGAGGCAGCAGTAAGCAGGTGCCAGGTTGTTTCAGTATAGCTGACAACATCCTGAGCTGGTTGAAGGAATCTGATTGCCATAGGAGAGAAGGAGAACACATGGGTTCCATGGTACATGCGAAACAGCTGCCATGTATTTAGTATGAACAGTTAATTAAGGGCAGACACGTATGGGGTGGCTGTTGCAGGATATTATGCTTTGCCTCTTTGTAAAGGTATTTTATTTAAAATACTGCATCTTTCAAGAGCTTTTCATTGAAAAGGAGAAACAAAGGCAGAGGTTGCGACTGAAGGACCTGTGAAATAGTCTGTTACAATGTCCAGCTTATTTATACTTAGTCTCCCATTTTTCTGTAAGAGCAAGCAGGTTAAATTGTGTTTGATGTCTTTTTTGGCTGGACTCTTGGAGTTATGCTATAGAGTTGATGTCTGTAAATGCCTCCTCTCCTGCTGCCACTATTTACTTTGGCTTGTGCATATCCCTTACAGTTTAATTTCCTGAAAATAAAAGGAAAAAAGATATAGGTTGTATAGTATGAAACCATCTTTTTGAGGGACTCCTTTAGTTGGAATAGCAGTAACAGCAAAATGTACTGGTTAAAGAAGACCAGTCAGTACAACTCTAATTTATTAGTGAAGTAAGCCATAAATTTATTATAATTTTTAAACGTAGTCTTATTAAAACTCAGATTAAGCAATCTCTTTTTCAAAATCAAAATATGCATTGAAATGAGGAAAAAGTCCTGCATGTACCTACAGATAAATTCAATTAAAAAAAAAAAAAGGTGAAGATTTAAAGTGAAGTATTTGAACATGAAGTGTAAGGAGAAGTATCCAGCTGCACAATGAAAGGACTTGAGCAGTGTTTTGTTGAGGGCTCATTTTCTTCTTTTTAATCCAGCTTTAGACAGAGATGAGATAGACATATTGACTCTAAACTGGTATCTTTGCATGTCTCCAGACAAGCAATTTTCCACAGTAGTACCGGGAAATACAGTATAAAATAAGATGTTTCTGACTTAGGAGAACCAGTCTCCTGGTAATGTTACTAATGTAATTACTGGAGTGAGATGAGTCCAAGCTGCCTTTAAAGAACACTTTAACAAATAGGAAAGCATGGTGATGATACAGAGAAAGCAGTCAGCTGTGGCTTTGCAGACTGAGCTGCAGGAGTGGTTTTTAGGTTTCCCCATCCATCCTGTGCTCTCCACTCATTTTTATCATGGTCCGTCATAGGAGAGGACATGATTATAATGCATCATAGCCCCTTGTCTGAGACTTGGTTAGGTCACAGTGTAAATGATGTTTTTAATGAGATTTTTTTTTGTAGTAGGGGTGATAATATGTATGCATTTTGTAAAAACTACTGTGAAAATATATAAAGACCTTCACAGCATTTTATAAAGTTTTATTTACTTAGTTCCTCCTGTTGCTGAGGTGAGGAGCAAATCATCTGCTGGCTTGCATGGCATGAGAGCTGGCCCCAAAACTAGAACACTGCAGACTGAAATGCACGCAAATACCACTCTAGTCTCCACAGCCCCTGTATGTGTGCTTCTTGCTCCACTGCTTACATGCAAAAAGCCTCTGAAGGTGTTTCACGTATGGATTGTATGCTGCAGTCCCTCACGTGTTCCCTCAGAAAGCTCAGCAGCAGATCTGTGCTGTACAGCGGCGTGAATAAGAAAGAGCCTGACATAAAAGTGAAAAAGAATAGAAGAAAAGAGAGCAGTGGTCAGCTAAATGTGTGTCTTAACTTTGCTGTGGACATGCGCTAGTTTTCTCTCGGCTTCCCCTCCAGAAAAACCTACCTGATGTCGACTAACTGGCACATGGAACGGTTTACAGATAGATCAGCATCGGTGACTCTCGTGGCTGCGAGTGTTTGTCTGTCACACAGATGTTTCAAGCCAGCCAGGCAGGCAGCGCTGCCTTCCTTCCCTTGCTTGAGGAGGGGAGAGGGCTCACCCACAGGTGCTTAACTAAGCGACGGAGAGGAGCGTGCCCAAGCTGAATACACAAAGTTAGCTTTGGTGCCTGCTTGGTCAGCATCATCCCCTAAGAAACAACTGGAAAAGATTTATGGGTTTGATCTCAGAAATTTTCCAGATGCTGCTTAATAGAAGGAGACACTGCGTTAGTTGCACTAGTAAGGATTCCCCAGCTGAGAGCGTGCCACCTGCAGGATGCAGGGTACGCGTGTTGTGTTTTGCCAGTTACCGTAGTAATGAAAAGGGATTTTTTTGTCTATTTCTTTTTACTAAGCTGTTAAACTCCCATTACACCCCAAAAAATATGGTTTGCTGTGACTGACAGCTTTAAATTTCCACTGTGGCACTTGTTTCTCCCCAGGTGTGGGGCTTATGCATCAGCGCACCAACTGGAACTGCACAACCCAATCTTTCAGCTCTTCTTGTTGACTTTGTGGGAGTGTCTGAATGCAGCTGTAATCTTAATCATAGTTTATGAGATGACTCTGTCCTTTGCTAGGGTGACATTTTTCTATATGCATTAGCAAGCAGAAGGAAACTCGATGGTCCACGGTTTGTGACAAAAATAGCTATACTGAAGCCACCCCGTAACTCAGAACACAGCACTATTAATACAGCACTAACCAAAACTCAATTTGAAGGATTTGATGCTTGTGGGGGCAGCAGATGGGAAGAGGAATGTATGTGGAAGTAATGGTAAAAGGTGTTTCCTCCCCCTCCCAGTATATTTGACCTCGATGATACAAATCAGTATTTGCTTGAAATTGAGTGTGCCAGTTGAGTAAGTGATAATTACTCACATGGCTGATTTGTGCCTCTTTCAACAGAGTGGAGATCTTAGTCAGTTTTGGCTTTTTTGGATTACAGTTGAACTATTTTGGAATACATTTGCCGCATCATAAATAGCAGGACGTGAACTGTACTGATTGCAGCACTCGGGCATCTGGCACCTCAGCAGAGCTTTATAGTGGTTAATGGTGTAAAACCGGTGTGGTCTGGGGAGCTGTGTTATTTCGTTATTGCTAAAACAGGGATACCTGTGCCGTGCACAGCAAAAGCTGAGGTCTTTCCAGTTACAGACAGACATGCTTGGAATCAACTTGTGCCACAGGACAGGTGTCTGACAGCAGCTCTTTGTCACCGCTCCTTTGTCAACTTTTAGTGCTTCCATACTTGTTGATGCGATAGAAAAGCTTCTGTGAATATTCCCTAATTTGCTTGTAGCAAAATATTAACCAGATTAAGAATTTTCTTATTTCTTAGAATTCTTTTATGACTTTGTGTTGTGGCAAACAAACTGTAATAATACAGTTAAATAAATCTCTACATTTGAAGAGTATAAAGGGAGACTAATTTGTCTTGATTACCAGCTGTAACTGTCTTACAGGTGTTTAACATTTTCATTATTCTCCCTTATTTTTAGTTTAATGTTACCGTGTAGCACCCTGTACATACATGATACTTTCTGCTGCAGAATAACAAGTGACCTTTCGCTTAGGGACTTTGGTTCTTTTGTCCCCATACATGAGTATTTTAGCAGCGTGTAGCCACTTGGGTTTGCTGCGGATGTTTTCATTTTGTCAGTTTTGTCTCAGCACGTGGCATCAGTGAAAGGAGTCAATAACTGTCCCCTCCATCCCTTTCTCTTTGCAGATGCTCTCTAAGTCCATTGAGCAGCTCAAGCAGCCCGACAGTCACCTGGAGGAAGCTGAAGAAGAGCTTCAGGGCGATCACTCGATGCAGGAAGAGCGAGCCCCATCCAGCAGTGCCAGCGTTCGGGCCGAGAGCAGCGGCGGCGCCGGTGCGGATGACAGAATAGGACAGCAGGTGGGGGCTGTGAAAGTCAAAGAGGAGCCACCGGACAGTGATGAGGATGTTCAAACCCAGCAAATGGAATCTGGGGAGCAAGCTGCTTTTATGCAACAGGTAATAGGCAAAGATTTAGCTCCAGGATTTGTAATTAAGGTTATTATCTGAGCATCACATGCATTTTCTAGGCTTTGGTAAGCAATTATGTTTTGATTCAGTGATCTAGCAAATCCTGATTTACCATTCAAAGAAGCTGTCAAAGGCAGAAGCATTGTATGCACACTTGAAAACATAGCAAAGCTCATCCTTGTGGCCACTAACTGCGAAAATACCTGTTGTAGGTGACTATTGTACATAAATCTTTGCGTAATAGCTGATAGACTTTATATTAGCTCAGGATTACATTACATCGCTTAGTTCTAGTCAAAGAGAACTCGTATCACCTAGCTTGTTGAGATCAGCCATTGCTGGAATTAGTTTCCAGACCTGATTGATGAAACATTCTTCTCTGATTTTGAATCCTCTGACTTACGCTTTCAGCTGTCTGTATATACTGTATCATACTGTAGTCTTGAACACTGTTAACATTAGGGTATTTTTTTTTCCCCTGTAGACAGGTACTGACTGCTCTATCAGCAGTCCCAGGCTGGTGTATAAAGTATGATTTAGAGAAGGATACAAGATGGATGTAAAGAGGCAGAGCAAGGCACTGTTTAAAAATCGCATTGTTTTAGTTTTTTTGCACTGCTTAGTTAATTTTTCATTCTGTCTTATTTGATGATACCGTCCGCAGAGACGTCCTTAAATGCAGCAGACGCACGCGCTGGCGAGAAGCAAGATGCAGCGTTAGGTTCTGATCGGTTATTAGGAGATTGCAGGAAAAGCACAGAACTGTTATCCTTACCATCTGATATCCAGTCACTTGCTTTTTTTTTTTTTTTTCTCCCCTAAATAAAGACTGATCATACAGCATCACGTAACCTTCACCGCTAGGTCTCCTGGGCAAACCCTAAAATAACGACCGCGCAGCAAACGCCGCCTTGGCGCAGCTGATCCCCTTCCCTCGCCCTGGGATGGGGCAGAGCGAGGCTGGATGCGGTGGAAGGGCCTGTTTATTTAAGTGGCTACTTTGTCAGGTCCCCGCTGTTTCTCCTGCAGAAAAGTGATTTTGGGAGGAGGCGGGGGGGAGCAGGAAATGCCTTATGGAAACAGGAAGCCCAAGTGATTCATGTGTTGAGGAATGCGGGGCGGGGGGGGGGGGGCGGGGGGGGGCTCCCTCTGTTTTTAAAGGCACTCTATGAATTGATTTATTGTCAAAGAAAATAACAAAGCGAGTAGGGAAATTGTTAAGGAAGCTTTCCAGTGAAACATTTCCTTCATATTCCCTTTTGATATGTTTACCTTGTTTTATAGGTTTACTTTTGTTAAGCTAGTTAAAGATTCATTGTATTAAGATCCCCTTTAATATGGATAATCCCAAACTGACCTGGAATTCTTGTCAGGTTTTTTTTTTCTATTAAAAATATTTATATTTCTAAAGCTGAGGTATTTTAAGGTGCAGTATCCTGTTTCAAAAAGAGATAGCTGTTTTGCCAAATGTAGATATTGTTCCAAAATATGTTATTAGCATGTGTTGTTTACATTATGCTCTAATACTATTAAATCTCTTATAAAATGTTGCAACTTCTAAAGATACATTCTCCTTTTTCCTAGAACATCTCCAGACAAATGACAAAATAGTTGCAGTTGCGATGAAAGGCATCCTTAGATAGGAAAGTATGTGACCTACTCTAGGTGATCCTGCTCTGGCAGGGGGATTGGACTAGATGATCTTTCAAGATCCCTTCCAACCCTGAACATTCTGAGATTAATTGAGAAAAACACAGGTGATTTTTATGCTTCATATTTGAACAGAAATCTTTCTCCATCTTGGATTAAAAAAAATCACATTGACATTGAAAAAGTGAAGCATATAAAAATTAAATTATATATTTTTCCCATTCTGTATCTTTTTTTTTTTTAAATCTTAACTTCAGCTTAATTAAAAAAAGGGATAGTGCATCTTGTAAAATACATTTTATTTGGGCTTTTGTACACTACCACTTCAGAGACATGTATTCACAAAAGGTAAAAGATATTTTTATAATGTCATTCAGGTGAGAATTCCCAATACGTTAGTGGACTTCAATTTCAGAATCTTTCAAATTTAGATAAAATTAAAATAGAGAAACTACCTGGAACCAGTGAAAAGGAAAACTGGGTTTAAACAGCCACGTTTCTAATTGATTATCGTCTTCTACATTTTAAATCTACTGTATTTATTATAATTTACACCCTTAGAGGTGATTTCTTGTTTTGTGTTGTAAATATATTCTGTTTGTATGTTCCCTTTTTTTGCCTTCTGATATAAGTCTCTTCCTTTCTCAAATAAAGTTTTTTTTCAAAGATCCCCTTTCAGATATCTGACTTTGTGTAAATTGGTACCTTAGTTGTGCTTTCGCTTTGTATAACCAAATACGTTGGCTCCACCTTGTTGAGACAATTCAGGCTTTCAGAAGTGAGTTTTTTGTCACACTATTCTTAAAATAATTACACAAAGTCTTTTTTTGGTCTCTTTGTTTTATCCTACGTCAGCCATTGTAAGTTTTAGTGAATGTGGAAGAGTATTGATGCATGCTCATATTCCCATCCTGGCATCTGTCTCTTGAACACGTGATCATACGTTGTCCCATGTAGGAAAGGTAAATGGAAATCCCAGTTTCTTAGCTCCAAAATTCAGATGAACTGAAGTAATTTCCATCACATTTCTAAAACCTGCCCAGAACCCAAAAGATACTCATATGAAGCTGAGCTTGGATATTCCTCAAGACCTGAAACCTCTTGGATATTCCTCAAGACCTTTTGAAAACTCTAAATGTGTTGGGGAGGAGGGAATCCACAAACTCTGCAGCCATTGGAGCAATTGCATGAGGCAGTGAAGTCCTGCCTTAGAGAAAAACCTGAGCACTTCCATGATGTCAAACGCCTTGTAACATTACTTGAACTTTGCTCCAGGTCTACAGAGATGAACAGTTTGTACTGCGTAACGATCCCTGTTAGTACAGTACATGAATTGTTACTGCCAAAAGAGTTCAGAAAACTTGTTGCTTTCTAGCTCTTCTGACTGTTCATTTAACTTGCAAAGGCACGTACCAGCTTCGATTCTGGTATAAGTTTAACTAAAATAAAATGCTTTCAACAATATAAATATGTAAGAATAAATATTTCTGTAAATCAAATTCAATTATTTTCACAATACAACAGCAAAGTAATGTGTCAGCAGTAAAAAATTAGATAAAAAGTCAGATTTTAGGTTTAGGAAAGCTTAAAAGTGGTATTAATGATATAACATCATATTGATGACCCTATTTATTATGTAATTAAAATCTTGTGTCTATAAGTAAATAATTTTTTTAACAGGGATTTTATTGAGGTGCCTTTTGTTTTAGTCATGTCAAAATCAGAACAGCAGCCATAAATGTTTTCAATTTACAGCATTCCTGTTTTGGAGGCTACACCAAGATTTTTTTTCTAAATTATTTATTTACTATGCATCAAAGCACCCATAATGAAGAAAATAATCATCATTTAATACAACTCACAAACTTTTATCTTTTTCCAGAAACTATTTTTTTAATGGAAGAATAGACATTTCTTCTGTCCTGTTGTCCAAAAATAAAGCCAATATAGCTACCACTTTAGAAATAATTGCAAATAAATGAGGGAAAAATGCTTCGTAATATTTACATACTCCACAGGCACACATTACTGGAATGTAGATACTGTTACATTAGCTTTTTTTCCATCCTTTAGCATTAAAAGCTGAACACCTCAGCAAAACAGGAGCACTCCGCACACTACCAGCATTCATCCTTTCTATTCAGCAGTTCATTTGTGCACTATCTTCATTCCATCTTCATCATCATCAGGATCACTAAGACTTAACTCCATGTTACTTAAGCCAACTGTACCCTGTTTTTATCTTCACTGGCATTCTGAGGTAAAAAATAAATAAATTTACAAACACTTGGCCCAAGGACCAATTTAAAAAAAAATGTTTACTTATTTCTCCCTTTGTGAACGCAATTTGCAGCCAAAATTAGCTAAGCCGAGTTAATTTCCTTATTGTAGTCTGTCCCAGTAGCAGCATGTCCTACTTATCCACTTAAGAAATGTTTGCTTGCTTTTCATTTATTTGTTTAGGTTCTGATTTCCTTATGCAGTTCCCATCATCTGGGTGGTAGCTGGGCTTCTGAAGCTCATTTCACAGTGGAGGATCATAGCTTAGAACATCATGTGCTGAATTGCTGCTCAGGCAAACAGAAGCGTATCCTGGATAACATTATCTTCTCTGTGCTGGAGCAGTAATTGCAGTGATTTTCGTAGGATTTTACCACTCTGTTTGGTAGGTGCTGTACTTTGCATTTGGTAGACTTTGTGCTTTGCCTTTATGGTTGGTTTAGGCTCCTAATTCAGCCTAATTTGGAATTTAAAAGCAAAAATGCAATTAGCGCAAACTGCGTAGCCAGCGGAAAAGCTGATTTTCATGGCCATGCTCACTCTCTCACACGCCCAAAGAGGCCTGGGAAGGGGCAGCCGTTAGGTGTGTCCTGGTTTCTGAACCCTGTTTGCTAAGCTCAAATGTCACACCCCTGTTGCTCATTTTAATTCTCACCCCATAACTCATCTAGCCCATAGAGGATAACTGCCCCAGCTACCTGTGGGCACACACAGCTACTGGAGACGCCCAAGGGTTATTTCATCAGCAACTGAGAGTTAAAGAGTGTATTTGCTTCGTAACCGGAAAACATGGAATGCTCTGTGATGACTACACCAGCGGAGCCCTGGTCACTAGAGTTATTTTGGCAGACCAGATACTTGTAAGTGATTCAGTGCCTTAATTAGCTGATTAAATGAGGTGTTTTGAATCTGGACGGGGAGCCTTTCTGGAATTTGGTTTACTTAACCTTCCGTAGTTGCCCTGAAGTAACTGTATTGACTCTTGAACATAGCGCTGAAATGTAAGGGAGGTTGGCTGGAGGATGCTCTGACAGAAGTACCTCACCACACACTTGGGCCTTCCAAGGTGGTAGCGCCTTACAAAGTGTTCAGCCTTGGAAAATGCTGTGAAGGGTAGGATAAATGGAAATGTAAGTTTTGAACAATTAACAGTTCCAAAGAAACCTTCCACCAGCTCTCCTCCCTCCTAAATGAGGTTGCAACCGCAGTCTTACGCATACTAGCTCAACTTACCCTTTATTTTATAGGCTGCGTAACCTCGTACCTCTCTGCCCTTCCTCAAATCTGTGAGTGCGTAGACACAGTTACAGCCCCTACGTAACACAAGCTGCTACCGTGATTTCTGGGGTAAGAGCTATAAGCTGTCTAGATGGAGCGAAGGGGGCAGAGGGCTGAGTAGTTGTATTTGTTTTGTGAAAATTTTTCATACTTCTACCTGGGAGGCAGCTCGGTCTGGGTATTGAGCCAGCTTTCTCTTCATCTTTACTCTTGCAAACCTGTCCATCTCTGTCAAGTTTCTAACTGTGGTCTTTAAAACTTGTGCTACAGGAAGAAAAACTTCTCTTTTTTTTTTAATGCCAATTCCGTGTCAAAGTGCATAATAATGAGA